ACACACTGGGCGGCTAACAACAACAACAACAACAACAACAACAACAAAGAAACAAAACCACCTCGAAAGTTTCAAACATGGCGAGAAGAAAGAGCGATTCACACGTCAACAAGAGACAACGTACCGCTCCGAAGTCGAGATTTGACGCGTTGCTCACCGCCGTGGAAAAGATGGACATTGCCCAGGACTTCCTAGAGATCCCACCAAAGAAGTATGTTCCAGATTATTTCGACATCATCAAGGATCCAATATCGTTACAGGAGATCAAGGGAAAGAACCACACGTCTGCGAAGGAGCTTGTTGCAGACTTCGAGCTAATGGCTGATAATGCCAACACGTATAACGATCCAAAGAGTGAGATTGCCAAAGACTCTGTAAAGATCTTGCAATATGTGAAAGGACAGCTCAAAAAAGAGTTGAAGGAGGAAGAAGAAGCGGAAGAAGAGAAAAGGAGACAGGAAGAGGAGGAGGAGGAGAAGAGAATCAAGGAGGCCGAGGAAGAGGAGGAGAGAAAGAGAAAGAAACCGGCATTGCCAAAGATCAAGCTACGTGCTCCTGGTACTCCACAATCCACACCTCAGCACCATGGACACACCACACAAAAGCAGAAATATCTCAATGTTCTGGATGAGATTATGACTTACAAAGTTGATGGCGTGAACATTAGTGAACCGTTTATGCACGAGGTTAATCGGAAGGATTATCCCGACTATTACAGGATCATCAAGAAAGTTACATCTCTGAGTACCGTCAAGGAGAACCTTGTATCTGGACGTATCAAATCGATGGGTCAATTCATCAATCAGATGGAGCTGGTGTTTAGAAACGCTCAGACGTACAACGATGAAGGTTCGTTGCTTTACCAAGACTCAAAGACTTTACAGGACTATTTCCATTCCAGAATGGACGAAATTAAAAAGGAGATCGAAGAACAACAGCGCTTACAACACGAACAACAACTCGCAATGAAGAAAACATCGACACCTCCTGTCAAGTTGAAAATCAAACCTCCTGTGAAATTTAACCTTGCTCCTGTTGGTCCTCCAGAAGATGATCTGGGTGAAAGTTACGATGACTTTGAACCTTCTAAGGACCACCACATTGAAGAGGAGAACGATGGTAAAGAAGACAACGAAGAAAAAGAGGAGGGCGTTCCAGTGGGTCCTTCAACTAGACCAAGAACCCTCTTAAACGTGGCGGACCAGCTTATTCAAGAAATCACAATCACCTCATCTCGCTCACAGTACAAACAAGCTGTGCGTCCAATGAATAACTCACCTATACCACCAACATATACCTGGTTTGAACATCATTTCAAAGCTTCAGAGTTCAAAGTTCAAAGTCATACGATGACGTTGAACAGAAGTCAGAGTGCGATATCGATATCTGCAAAACTCAATGGGATTCTGATGGAGAAACGTCACCAATCCTTTCTAACGGTCAATGGCGAACGCGTGAATCCAACACCTTCAATCCACTATGCGGAGTCTGGTAAGTTGACATCTCGTTATGAATTGAAACTACCTCTGGGCTTGAGTATGGTTGTATTTGACGTTGTTGTTGATAACAACAACGAGCAAAGACGTGCAGTGGAGAACAAGGAAAAGCGCACCATCTGGATCCAAGTTGTATAGTTGAGATCTTGTCGCCATATGATATAATGTCCTTCTCTTCCAGAAAGCACCACTGTGGGTGAATGTCTTACAAACGTCGTGTACTATATCTACCCTGTTTATACGCTTTTATCCAATTTGTCTCTGTATATCCACTCGTCAGGGATTACATCTTGTAACCTACAAGCATGTTCAGCCAATAGCAAGCGTGTCTCAAACTGTGAAGTTGGAGAGGCTAACGTGTCAGCCCGGGGTTCAAATTTTGGTTTTGGTTTTTTTCTTTTGCTTTTTGTTGGTTTTTTTTTCCCAGGTTTTTTTTGCCACCGTCCTTATTACTTTAAAGTTTGGCCATGCGTTAATCACGCATCTTGCTACTTTTCTGTGCATTTGTCTCACCATCTCACCTACTCCAATAAGGGGGTGCTAAGAGCATTCAGAAAGGTAATTGGTTGGCACTGCAGTGCCAACCCAGTGTTCATTTCCAGAGCCGGCACCTACATCTCCACTCCAGTCCTCTCGTTCTCTCTCTCTCCCTCCCTTTTTACACGCCCCTCCACTCTTCAGTCTATTACAGTTTGTCCTGTTGTCCGATTGTGACGTTTGTCCCATCACGCCCATATGCGAGTAGCTATTAGATTTACAGCTCATCCCACTCAGGACAGAATTAGCTTAGCAGGCCCAATTCCTCACAGCTGAGACACACACGCATTGCAGACTAACAGCTTAAAGCTGGCCAGCATCAGACGTTAACTGAACGACTCGAAACTGGCGTCTTTAAGCGTTTATGGTTGCATTTCAAAGAGCTTGTGTGTTTTTTTTTTTTGGTTTTCTGTCCCGGCTCGTTTGTCCTGTTTTCCTCCCGGCTGCGTTTTTTAAGGTTTCAAGGGTCGAAAGCGTGTCCAAAAAAATTTCCACGCTACACCGACAATTGGCGTTGATCAGCTTAGCAGAACTCATTCCATAGTGATTTGTACTCGGGACCCAGTTCACTTGAGCTTCTTGCAGTATCTTCACACACGCACTACGAGGCTCAACTGGTATTTAGAGGGAATCCTGGCGAGGAAGACACTGGTGGACGCTCGGCCCAGAAGCGAAGAACACATTGTCAGGACATATTGCCGGAGAGAAGGTTTGGCGGTAGCATAGGACGATGAATTCGATATCGAGCATAAGCGATAACCTGTTGAAGGCCAGACGGTCGCATCGTCGGTTGATGGCCGTTGTGGGAGTCTTGTTCTTCATCTGTTTCGAGATTGCTTTCTTCACGAGAGGAAGGAATGACCGCCCTAGCACGTACATTGCAACAGGCACAAGAATGAACAGCGCATATAAGGGGATGCTGAAGGAAGATATAAGCAGCATGGCATATGGAGACAGATGCTCCCGTTATTTTGGCATTCTGGACGAAAGCGACCCCAAGTGGGAGGTGCTGGGCTCATTGATAGCATCGAATGACCATGAGAAAGAAAACAAGGACCAGTTCGTCGAGAGGAAGACCCGTGAGGTGATGAACCAGTTGCCTGGTGAGCTTTCAGAAGCTGAAAAGACTCAAGTGCTGGAGGCAAAACACGTTAGACAGTCGTTTGAAGAGATCTATGACAAACTGAATGGTGTTGCAAACGATTTGGAGAGCAATGTTGTCGACTCTGCCACGTCTGTGAGGGTTTACGGTGCGTGTTATCTTGACCAATTCGGGTTGTTCAACAATGATCCTCTCAAGAATCAGAGATGCTCCGAGTATGGTAGGCGTTTGTTCAAATGGCACACTGGACTATCTCCTGTGTACACTCGTTGGAACGGTGAAGTACTGGAGAGTGCACCTGTGATGGCTAATTACATCAAAGGCGGACAAGAACCACTGTATCCTGATCTGAATGGTTGTATGATGTATGACATCAGATCTTCCATGAATGGTAAGGGAATAGCCATATCGGCGTCAGATTCAAACGTCGATGCGTTGATTTCATTGTTTGCCATGCTGAGAGCAGTAGGCAACCAATTGCCAGTCCAAGTTGTCCATGCCGGTAATCTATCACCGGTGAGTGCAAACAGGCTACTCCAAGCTGCCAATTCCCTGATGCTGGATTTGGATTCAGTCCCAGATCTCGACAGGGTGTTGAAGCATCGTGGTATTGCTAAGAGCTATACTCACTTGGATGAGAGTGAGCTGAAGTCCATCTTCCCTCCGCTAGAGTTATGGTATGTCGATGCCTCAAGATCAATTTCTCCTATTTTCCTGAAGAAGTTCTCTGGAGCAGGCAGAAAGTTATTGGCTTTATTCTTCAACTCCTTCGAACACACATTGATGATTGATTCAGATGTTGTACCGTTGGTCGATTTGGGGAGCCATATCTTTAACAATCACTTGTACAGGGAACATGGTGCGCTATTCTTTAGGGGCCGTGAACTTGAGGACAGCCACTCTGAGCACACTGTAGAGTTCTTCAAAAGCCTCATGCCAACAAAGGTTGATGAATTGATCTTCCACATCCCATCTGCTACAGAGAAGACACTCGGCAATAGATTCATGGAGAAGGAAAAGCATCCGTATATGGATGCTAGTGTCCTTGCCATCGATCGCAAGAGATATATGACTGGTATTCTCAGCGTGATGAACTTGAAGATTTGGAAGCCTGTCGAGGAAAGAATCAGAAGAGACAAGGAGATGTATTGGCTGGGGATGTCTATAGCGGGGCTTGAAGATTATTACATGAACCACTGGACAGCTGGTGCTGTTGGGTCAGTGACCCCGGTAGACTACAGACTCCTCGATGACAAGATTGACATCAGAAGATCACACCTCAAGGGCCATGAGATATGTTCTTCACACGCTGGTCATCTCTCTCCCGTTGACAATACCACTATGCTATGGATGGACGGTGGTGCCTCCGTCTGTAAATACCCGGACTCGTCTGACCATGATTTTAAGGGGAGATACACCTTGATGTTCAAAAGCAAGACAGAGCTGAGAGAACATTATACCTCGACAGAAAAGATCACTGCGCTTATTATCACATCACCAGAAGAGAACAAAGTGACGAACAACCTTGGGGAGAACGACTCAGGATGGGGGAGAACAACCGAGTGTAGAGGCTCAGTGTATTGTGCGTACGATCGAATTGGAGGACGACATGATCCGAATAACTACGCCAAAATGATTACTTTCAACGATGCAACGCAACTGAAGTACAACTTCGTTGCACAGGTTGGGCGAAATGCAAAGAAGTTATTGAAGTACTAGAGTCTAAGGCATACTATCCATATATTTAATACCATTCGAGCCACATAGTTAGAGCTAATTCGTAAAGTAGCACAGCTGGATCATCAATGAGAAGGCCTAGGGATTCCTATACAAAGGACAAAGGACAAGAGACAAAGGACAAAGCACATGCGCCACCATGCACTGTTATGCATGGTTCGGATGGGCATATGCATGCTTCAGACTTTATTCGCACACAGGTAGCCAACAGAAACATCCAAACACCACGGAGACGTGCACATTTGTCCGTGCCCGGAACTTGCAACAAGTCCACGGTGTTTTAACTAAGGAGAACTTGTACGACGAGGTGCGATAGGTCGAGCAGGCTTCGATACAAGATGAATCACACTGCGATATCCTCTCCAAACAAGAGGAAAGTTGTTGGCTTGTCAGCATTGTTATGCTTAGTGCTGTTTACGGTGTTCAACTTGACTGGCTCGTCATCGGCTACAATTAATACTGGTGCACTTGGGAAAGGTGGTAGTGAAAGAGTGAAGGCGCCGCCACTGGTGTTCAAGAAACCGGGCTCACAGGCAGAAGATGAACGTGAGAGCTCGTTCTTTGGGTCCTTCTCTTCCCAAGCACAGCTGTTGAGCCCATATGAGAACGTTCTAGGTTACCTGGAGGCCAAAGAGGAGAAGAACATCACGGA